GGCAGAGGCTTTAACCCACTGAGCCACCCAGGCGCCCTTATTCAGTCTATTTAAACGTGTTTTCTTGTTTGTCAAATAGCAAGGATACCGACCAAGACTCGTAGGGTTACTGGGAAGATAGAAGTCATGGGCAGCCCTGGGCTTTACACTCAGTGAGTGCCTGGCCCTCAGGTGACATTCTCCCACAGTGGTGGTCTTTTCTGCCCTCGCTCCCTCCATGAGAAAAAAGAATTGTGGCACGAACAGTGGGGTCAGGATTTCAGCAGAGCCAACAACATCCTTATGAAGGATATAGTCTGTTTAGAGAAATGGAAGACAGATGAAACAAAGAAATGCCAGGGGGAGGGAGTAGAGAGTAAGAAGATAGTATTAACTTCATTGTCCATTAAAGTTTTCCGAAGACAATTTGCCAAACCTTTTCCCAGTCTTTGTCACATAACCTTATTTCAAGAAATATCTGGGGACACCTGGGTGGCACAGTCATTTGAACATCTGCCTTCTGCTCAGGAAGGAACCTGCTTCTCCCTCTCCCCTGCTTGTGCTCTGTCAAATAAACAAAATCTTAAAAAAAAAGAAAAGAAAAGAAAAAGATTTTATTTACTTAGTTGCTAGAGAGAGAGTACAAACAGGGGGAGCTGCAGGCAGAGGGAGAAGGAGACTCCCTGCTGAGCAGGGAGCCTGATGTGGGGCTCGATCCCAGGACTCTGGGATCATGACCTGAGCCAAAGGCAGCGGGTTAACTGATTGAGCCACCCAGGCACCCTAAATAAAATCTTTATTAAAAAAACAACGCCAAAGACAAAAAACAAAACAAAACAAAACAAAACCCATGTCTTTAAAAAAAAAAAAAAAGGAAGAAAAATATTTGACAAAATTCTAATGTACGAAAGAATTTCATTCCCCGGGGACTCCTTGTAATAGAATTTGACTTATCTGCCTTAAGCCTCTAAGTGCTAGAAACTTTGGAGAAAGGAACAACAGAAGTGAGGTGTGGCTAGAGGCAGGACTCCCTAAGGGCCAGTTTGGCGCAAGATTACAGTGGTCCCTTTCATCTGATACACAGTACAGTAAGAGTATGGCCTTATCAGGACCCCTGGTAATTAGCAGGATTGGGTCTTAGGAAATATTCAGATGAGGATGCGATTGATTTGCAAGCTGAGACAAAATCCTTCCCCATTTCATTTTGTTGGGGAGGGCTGTTAGAATTAACTTAGGTGGCTAGAACATAGAATCAGATTGGTACATAGCAGTCACTTGGTAAATGACCGTTATTATCAACCTCCATACCTTAAATCCTCAGAAGCTTTCTGAATTAATTTTAAGCTCTTTGCATGTGTCTTTTGGTCCCTTACAGTATTTAGACACACTCCATGCAACAAAACACCTTTCTTCTCAGGAAAGAAAGTAAATGTACCATGTGTCTGTTTTCCTCAAATCTATAAAAATTGTTACTTCCTGTGTTCTTTGTAGAGCTGGTGGAGTTGAGATCTATAATGGGGATCGTAAAATAAAAGTTTCCAATACTCTAGAAAGCCGGCTGGATCTTATAGCCCAGCAGGTGAGTGTGGGAATACATCTTATTACTTGGTCTGTTGTTACTTTGAAGTGATGCAGAGAACATATGTGCATTTGGGGTTTGTCATTCTTTCTACACTTTGTGGCATTTTCTTGAATGGGCAGTAGGCAGGTGACATTTACTGAGGTGACACCATTTACATGAGAGTGGATTTGGGGTTGAATGAGGGTTTTGTTTATTTAGGATTCTGATGTACACATTTTACTGCTGCCCGGGTCCTTTCTCCAGTAAAAATGGCAGGAACTAAAGTAAATGTTGTTTAAAGGACTTGCCAGAGGGCTGCTGGCTCTTCAGGTGTTTCCAGGTTGGTACAGATAATCTCTAGGGAGTAAGAATTCAGGTGCCTCAGAATGCTGGGCCTCTTTTCAGCAGCGGTAGTCTGCTGCTGTGACTGCTAGCTCGTCTTAGAGGAGAGCACTTTGACCTTGAGTATCATCTTCTGATAACTTAAACCCTAAAGCTGTATTCACCATTAGAGTAGCCGCTATCCACACATAATGAAGTAAAATTAAGTAAAATTAAAAACTGAGTCCCATGGTTGCACTAGGCACAATTCAGATGCACAGTAACCACACGTGGCTAGTGGTCTCTATTTGGACAGCACAGCCTGTGAAGTTTGAGATTAAATCCTCTAAGGATTTTTCAGTTGCTGTAATGAATGAGTGCCTCAGCACAAACTTGCATTATGTGTTTTCTGCCTGGCACATACTAGGCACTCAGTGACTGTTTGCTGAAAGAAAGTAGATGATCCAGAATATTATGAGGTAATACTGTTAAGGGATCATCTCTTCCCCCTGCAGCACAGCTAACAGAAGCCTTAAACAATAATGCCTTTAGTTTTTTTTCTTTGCCCCCTTTAAGCAGTCAGTCAGTCATAATCACAAATTTGTGACCGGGGTAAGTTTCCCACCAAGGGTTCTGAAGAAAGGTACAGACTTGCTGCTTAGCTTTGTGGTCTCCTTCCCAGCCATGTAGGGGTCGCTGACCCTGCCACTTGCAGTTACGATGTGCCTCTTTGGGGCACCTGGGTGGCTCAGTGGGTTAAGTGTCTGACTCGTGACTTCGGCTCAGGTCATGATCTCAGGGTGGTGCGATTCAGCTGTTCAGTGGGGAGTTTGCTTGAGATTCTCTCTCTCTCCTCTCTCTGCCCCTCCCCCCACCCACATACACACACTCTCTCTAAACTAAATAAGTAAAATCTTAAAAAAAAAAAAAAAAAAAAAAAGTGCCGTGCTTTCCAAATTTTCCAGTTGACAGCGTTTACTTACTAAAGATCTTCTTTCTTCACAGATGATGCCAGAAGTACGGGGCGCCTTATTTGGTGCAAATGCCAACAGGAAGTTTTTGGACTAAACCTTTTGTCAAGGTGGAGTTCATCCACTGCTTTCCTGTCATGTGGAAGTTTCTGATATTTGAAGAAACAAGATATCTGTGTGGCTTCCTCTTCGCTCTTCTAATATTCTGTATTTATCAGTGGATCCTCTCTGTAGCTAATGCCCTTGGCCTAATTGTTAACATGAGAGAAAGTTTCACTTACTATGATCAGGAAACCTCCTTAGCTTATCTAAGAGCATGACTTTCATTTGCTTTTGTAGCATGAAGGTGAGGGTATCAGATGGTGGTCACTGGAGCTTCACCGAGTCTCTGCTCTTCTCTCATCTTCTGCTGTCAGTTCTCGAGCCTAGAGGGTGAGGTGTGTGGTGTTTTCTGACATTCGGTCTCTGCTCTTTAGGCTGCAGATGCGTGGGGAGCATGCATTCCTGCCCGCAATAGTAGCTTCACTGTTAACCTGTTTGGGCCTAGAAGTGCTCCTTATCTGTAAATGTGATTTAAAATCTAAGCCATGAGTAGGTCTTATTTATTAAAACAAAATGTTTACATGGATTTCATTGTGACTCATTATGCAAGGTGCTACAAGTTTTATGATTTGCGAGGGAAAAGTTCTTCCCAGAGTATCTGGAAAGGAAGCGTTCTAATCCATAAAGTTGCTGGTTGACAGCTGTCACTACTTGAAACCGTTAACTCTCTCTGTCCTCTGGCACTTCCTGCTCATTTTTACCAGACTCTTATCCAGAAGCGTTCCTTCCAGCCATTTAAAATCTTTCAGACGTACCACACACACAGGTGTTCACTATTACCTGTCCTCTGGAGGGTTTGACAGCTTTATTGAGGAAATCGTTTTATTAGCTTTGGCAGAGTCGGAAAAGCATCTGTGGGCTTACTGGGGGAGAAGGGTTACTGTGTGTCAGTCCTAAACTCTTTCACAAAGGTCCTTTTCTTTCTCTCCTCCTCCGGTTTCCCCCCATGACCACTAAGAACTGCCCGGGGCCTTGCAATGGGGTAGAGGTGGGGGTCTAACGGGTCTGTCTTTGCAGTCCGCACTCGTGCATGGTCCTCCCAGTAGAGAACTCGGCTACTGAGCCTGATCGTTTTTCATTAATGTCAGTGATTTTTGAGACGAGGTGGGGACTAACATAAGTGCCAACTCCTGGCACAGGCATTGTTTACTGAGGACCTGAAGCCCCCGTGTTGCCGGCATCTCTCCGCAGCAGCCCTCTGGGGAAAGAATTAAGGCACATGGGGACTGTCACAGTGAACCCGTTCCGCAAGGCGATGCAGTTATGCAGTGATGGAATCAAGACTGAAAACTCAGTGTGACCCAGCTGCTCTCCCCCAGCCTCCGAAGCAGTCATCTGAAGAGCCCGTGGAGGGACTGCTGTAGTACTCATTGGGATGTAGCCCGCTTCTGAAATGGACAGGGACAATAGAGGGCAAGCCATTCACTGCAGCCCGTCTGCTTCTCCCACTATTGACAAGTTGAGATCTGAATCCATTTTATTTAAAACCATGTTCCATGGACAGCGTGGGAGAGCTGTGCCCTGGAGGGAGGACCTGACAGGGTGGGGGTGAGGGTGGGGCAGCTGCCCTGCCTTGGCCCCTGTGGCTTGGTTAGTCGGCCTAATCCTGCAGCCATCACGATTTGAAAAGATCTGCTTGGTTTCCAACTCTGTGCTGACTTTGAGGGCTTTCATGGTCCCCTTGAACTTCTGATCCTCCCCTTTCCCAAAATCAGTGCTAGAACTAACCATAAGTTATTTAATTCAGAATTAACACTAAATCCTCAAACTGACTCAAGTGTATGGAGTTTGAGTGTGAAGTAGAAAAGGAAAATGTAGAAAGGACCCTCCTATCTTTATTATGTGTTAAGGGTCTGCAGTTAATCCAACCCACACAAGTCCTGTTTCTCTTGTTGAAAAGTAGGTGGTTAGGGGCTGCTGGAGCTTGCTGGTAGTTGTAGCCCCAAAGAAAAGAAGGCAGATGTGAAGGGAGAAAGGGACCATACCCAGCTTGCTTATTAGAGTAAGAGTGTTTCTTCGGAGATTGAGGTAGCACTACAAGTTAGAGGACAAAATACAACCTGGATGGGCCATCTTGCTCGTCCCCATCTAGCTGAAGTTGAATGGGCTAGAGAGATGGCAGGGGACTTGGGCTTCAGCTATCTCTACTCGAAACACTTTAAGATCCGCTCCCCAATACCAATGAAGTAGACCCCTTGGGCAATCCCAAAGAGAGGGGCTATGACAAGGGCCCGGCAGCCTGCTCCCTTCATGAGGGCAGATGGTCCCTCCTGAATCCAGAGTTTCCTGCAGAGAGAGAAGAGCCCCATGAGCTGATTGGCAGGTGTGCACTGTGAATGGCCCCCCTCTGATGTTTGTACATCTTCCCCTGGAGAGTAGGTGACATTTTCCACAGCGGGCTCCCCTGGGTGTAGCAGCCTGGTCCCAGCCACCATGTGAGCACAGTTGGGTTACTGAGAAGCTGGGTCCGGGCCATGGGAAATCGGCTCAGTCTGACTAGACTCTGGGAGAAATGTTGTAGTGCGAAGGAGGAGAATGCTCCCAGTACGTTCTATTTTGTTGAGAGGTGAAGGGAAGGAACACGTATCAAAGAAAGCCAGAGCTCAGCCTAGGACAGTGATGAAATTGCCCTCTAGGTGGGGTGTAGGTAGACCGCAAGGCAGGGGGACCATCCCAGCCCCAGCCTTTGCAGGGCTGCAGCCTTCTCACCTGGCACAGTCAGTGATCCCGCTGTAGCTGTCCTCGCCTAGGCCTTTTTTGAGGGTTTGGATTCGCGTTTTCAAAACTAAAAGTGAAAATAAGTAGTGAACGTTTGGCTTTTGGCCCCCTCCTGCCAACATAAAGCGGTTTCCCATTGAGAGCCAGCATACACAATACTGAATCCTAAGGCCAATGCTGCCATTGTGTGATCTGTAGTAGAAGATCCTCCGCTCTTTGGGCCTCATTTATGAAATAAAATAATTAGAATGACAAGATCCTTCAGGTTACTCATACTATAGAAAGGTCCACCTGTGTGTGAGAGCAGCCGGGAGTAGCCCTGAAGATAGGAGAAGCGTGGTCTGACACTGTTAAACTCCTGTCTTTCGCCTCCGCTTTGAAAACTCGACTGGGGGATGAAAAGCTGATGAAATCAGCACCTAGAAGGTGAGTGCGTTTGTCAGGGATAAGAAGGGAGTGAAGGTCTCCTTGGCTCCACTTTATCTGGGGAGACCCTTGCTGAGTTTCTGCCGGTGGCCATAGGTTGTGATCCAAGAGTTCTCAGGTTGGAGCTGTTTATATACGAAAAGTAGCTGACTGCTTATCCTCTAGACGAATGTGCGGCTGTCTGACTTGTAAAGTGGGGCAGCCCCTGAAGACCCCCATCTCCAACACACTTACCGTCCAGAGGTGTTACTGTGACGGCGGCTACAGAACCTGCAACACAGCCTGACATGAAGGAATGCGCGAAGGAAGCCTTCCCCGTGCTCTCGTTGAACCCGAGGTTGTTAAGGTTGGCGAACAGTGGAAAGTAGATGATGGAGAAGGGGATGTCTCTGCCAGAGAGCAAGAGCAGTGAGCTGCCTGCTGCTCAGGCAGGAAGCCTTTGCCTAAGCCCAGGGCCCGGCTGACGGTCAGAGACAAGCCCGCAGTTACCTCTTCCTTCCCTGGCCCCTGTGATAATGTGGAGCGATAGAGGGTGGAAGGGGAACCATGGGTCAGCCTGCCTGCCCCATCCTCCCAGCACATCACTCTGCCCTCCCAGCACCTGCAGGGCTCCGCGAGGACGGGGCCGCAGATACAGGGACCGGGAGCACGCTCTGGGAGAATGCATGGACAGGCTGAGGTAAGCGTGAGCTGAGAGAGTGGTTGGTGAGGAGCTCTGTAAGCTACGTGTTAAGGGGGTGGGGTGGGCAGGAAGGTGAAGTTCATTTATCTGTTGCCCAGTGGTAGGAGAAAACTAGCCCTTTTCCTGGCACACTTCTGATCAACTCTAAGGATTTTGGTCAACTAGCAAGGTAAAATGAGGGGTCTCTGCCCATTTACTTAATAACGATCCGAAGTCCTTTGTCCATAGGACATTTCTTAGGTGCTTGTGGGCCACAGAACATCTCATACTCGTGCGGTCTGGTTACTGGAGAAGGGCCTCAAACTAGTCTTCCAGGTGCCCATCCTGTGCAATTATGCTCAGTTCTCAGCAAACTACCTCCAGGCTTCCAAATAGGAAGCCTGGAGGTAGCTTGCTCTCTGGGCATTGAATTTCCAGGAAGAATGCAGCAACAGATTGGGGCTGAGGTCCCGCTGGCCTTCCGTGCCCTCTCCCTCCTCCCCGGGTCCCCTCTGGGTCCCAAGTTCAGGAAGAAAGCCTCACCTGAGGAGAGTGGCACCCAGACCCTTGTAGAGACCAGCCAGGCCCTGGGTGCGGAGTAGCTCCCAGGCGATAAGGGTGGCAGATGGGCGCTTGTGGGTGGAAGCCGAACCCGTACTATAGGACCTGGAGGAGGAAGGGGCTGAGGCCGAGCCCTGACGATGAGCTGCTGAAAGGGAGAGGACAGACCCCATCACAAGCCAGGCCCCAGCAGGGAGTGTACCTCCTGCCTCCTCACCCTGGGACAGCTCAGAGGTGAGGCTCACAACCCTACTGGAGTTCTGAGGATAGTCCGATTTTATTTTAAGATTTTATTTTTAATGAAAATATCTACATCTAACGTGAGGCTCGAGCTCATGACCCTGAGGTCGAGAGTCGCACACTCCACCACCAAGACGGGTGCCCTGGATTACCTTCATTTTAGAACATTCATTTTTTGGCTCCAAGGAAATCTTTCTAAGATTGGTGTCATCTCCTGCGCCGTCCCCGCTGCACGGGGCACTTCCCAAGAGCCACGGCCCGCCCAGCCTCCTCCGTAGGGAGTTAGAGCAGCACCTGTTCCAGCCCCAATTCCTTATCCTCCTGCCAAAGCTGTGCTTAAGATCTGGCTTCCGTTTCTAAACCATCTCTGAGCCTATTTATATAGTATCATCCTGCTGGCGCTTTGGGACCTCAGAGTCCCACTTCCTTCTGCCTCATGTGTAAAGCAGCAAATTCTTTTTGTCCAAAATCTATCTCCCTCAGGCCTCCAGAGGTGCCTCCCCCCTCGAGTAGTCCAAGATCAGGTGAACACGGCCTTTACACCCTTCGCCATTTTATAGAATTTGATTCTTCGTTTTAGTTGAATAATTCAGAGCCCATAACTGGATGAGTTCAACATCTAAGAAATAGAAGGGAAATGGTTTTCTCCTGAGCATTGCAAGTACAGCATTTCAACCGTGGGTGAGTCCCACCCGTGACCACAGGATTCAATGCGCTGAAATTGTGCGACTGTTCGTTTTCTTAATTCTCCCGTTGGAGCAGCTTTGTCTAGCCTCTGCACCTGTGCTCCAAGGAAGCGGTTTCTGGCCCCAGTTTCGTCTGACAGCCAGCAGGTGACACCTCACACTGAGGCACCACTGACTGCACATCTGCTCCTGGGGCAGCGAGCTGGGCGCAGTCTCAGACAAGGAGCATGAAGGAGGAGGTTCATCGGTGAGCCCGATATTCCCTGTTGTCCATTCACTCCTAGCCTGTCCTTCTCTTGAAGTGGTTTGGAAAACTGACACTCTCATCCAAGTTGAAAACTGAGAGTTTCAGAGCTTTTACTCTTTGTAGATCAAAACACGGGCTTTCCAGTGCCCAAACTTTATTCTTGCTGCAGTTTCATGAGCTTTAGGCTAGTCTGCTCCAACCTAGAAAGCTGGTTGGATCCAGCACAGCATGTGTGCACAGTGGGTTTGAGGAGGGGAAGAGCACCCACATTTATTGAGGGCCTTACCAGGTGCTAGGCTGGGCAGCTCACGTGCCCCCTTCTTTAATGCAGGCACGGCGGTTCACCCAGAGGAGAAGCCCTCCATTCCGCCTCACTGTGCATGGCCTTTCCTCCGCTGGACAGCGAACCCTGGTTTTTAATCTATGCTTTGGTACTTACTTACGCCACTTGGTATTTTTGAGAGGACCAGGATCTTGGAAAGGGACAAAATTCACTTCCAAGAAAACAAAAGAATAGGAATGGTTCTCTTATTCCTTATGATGCCTTCCCACCAAAGACCAGCTTCTATAGCATAATATAATAGAGCAGAACATGAGGTCTACTGACTGAAGTGTTTGTGATCAGGCTGTTGATCCTTCTTAAAATCTTTAGGAAGTCAAGCCTAAAGGTCATGGTGATCTGATAAGAGGTATTAGGTTACCTTCTGAACCAAGTTTCTCAGTTCTATTGTTTGTTTTAGAATTAGAAGTGTTGAGGGGCGCCTGGGTGGCTCAGTGTGTTAAGCCTCTGCCTTCGGCTCAGGTCATGATCTCAGGGTCCTGGGATCGAGTCCCGCATCGGGCTCTTTGCTCAGCGGGGAGCCTGCTTCCCCCTCTCTCTTTGCCTCTCTGCCTACTTGTGGTCTCTGTCAGATAAATAAATAAAATCTTCAGAATTAGAAGTGTTGAAATCTTGAATGGTAGCCATTAGCTAAAGACATCTAGGGGCACCTGGGCAGGTCAGTCAGTAGAGCACGCGACTCTCGATGATCTCAGTGTTATGAGTTTGAGCCCCACGTTACTTAAAAAAGTTTTAAAATCTTAAAAAAAAAAAAAAAAAAAGACTTCTACTGACCTGGAAAGCTGATTGAATCACACAGTCTAGCCAATGAGTGCAGACTGTGGGGAAATCTATTCTGATCACAGCCCTTTGCTAATCCCACGTGGAATCAGGATAGGCCTCACCCAAGCGTCCAGCATCCTGCAGCTGAATCTTGAGCATTTCCATGGGACAGGTAACCACCACCTGGCATATTCCAGCTCCGCATCCAGCTAGCATCTCCATCTTCAGATTCCGCTGCATCCTGTGGGACCGTGAGTCGGGCTCCTTCAGTGACGGGCCAGCCCGGCCACCCATCCTGGCCCATCTGCCCAAGACCCTTTGTAGATGAGACTTTCTGTGCGTGGTACTCAGCCTTGTTCTGATCAGCTGCCACTCACCCAGCTGGGTAAATCATCACCTGGCCCTCGAACACAGTCTCCTTAAAACATGAAACTAAATTTAAAATGGGCTGCCAGGGAGGTAGCACCTGCACAGAGGTTGAAATGAGTGCACTGAAACTACCCATTGCATGGATGTGATTGTCCCCAGTCCCTGAAGCAATGTCATCAGGGTAGTGGGAGATACAGATAGTACTAGAAAGTGTTTGGGGGTTCATTTTTAAAGATTAAAAAAAAATTTTTTTTTTTTAATTTATTCATTTGACAGACAGAGATCACAAGCAGGCTGAGAAGCAGGCAGAGAGAGAGGGGGAAGCAGGCTCCCAGCAGAGCAGAGAGCCTGACGCAGGGCTCGATCCCAGGACCTTAGGACCATGACCTGAGCTGAGGGCAGAGGCTTTAACCCACTGAGCCACCCAGGCCCCGGGGGTTCATTTTTAAAAATTTATCAGCATAGGGGCACCTGGGTGGCTCAGTGGGTTAAAGCCTCTGCCTTCGGCTCGGGTCGTGATCCCAGGGTCCTGGGATCGAGCCCCGCATCGGGCTCTCTGCTCAGCGGGGAGCCTGCTTCCTTGTCTCTCTCTCTGCCTGCCTCTCTGCCTACTTGTGATCTCTGTCTGTCAAATAAATAAATAAACTCTTAAAAAAAATTCATCAGCATAATAACAGACACATAGATCAATGGAACAGAACTGAAAACCCAGGGGTGCCTGGGTGGCTCAGTGTGTTAAAGCCTCTGCCTTCGGCTCAGGTCATGAACCCAGGGTTGTGGGATTGAGTCCTGCATCGGGCTCTGTGCTTGGCAGGGAGCCTGCTTCCTCCTCTCTCTCTGCCTGCTTCTCTGACTACTTGTGATCTCCGTCTGTCAAATGAATAAATAAAATAATATAAAGAACTGAAAACCCAGAAATACAGTCTTTGCATATCCAGTGGCCAAGGGAGCTGAGAGTACTCTGTGGAGAAATCACATTCTCAATAGATTGTGTTGACAAAAATCAGATATTCTCACGTAAAAGAATAAAACTGGACCTCTCTCTTACACCACTCACCAAAATTAACTCAAAATGAATTAAAGACTTATGTAAGACCTGAAATGATAAAACTCCTAGAAGAAAACACAGGGGAAAGCTCATTAATGTGGGTGACCTAAAGCACAAGAACACGAACAAAAACAGACAAGCGCAGCCACTTCAACCCTTGAAAGCTCATGCAGAGTGAAGGAAACCATCAACAAAATGAAAAGACAGCCTATGGAATGGGAAAAAAATACTTGTACATCACATATCCGACAGGGGGATAATATCCAAATATATAAAGAACTCATGCAACTCGATAATAAAAAAATAATAATAAATAATTCAGTTAAAAAATAGAAAAATATTCAAATATCCAACAGGTATATAAAAAGATGCTCAGCATCACCAATCGTTAGGGAAATGCACATCAAAACCACAATGAGGTATCACCTCACACCTGTTAGAATAGCTAATATCAAAAAGACATGATAAGGGGCACCTGGGTGGCGCAGTAGGTGAAGTGCCTGATTCTTGATTTCGGATCAGGTCATGATCTCAAGGTCACTTGGGAGTCTGCTGAAGAGTATCTCTCCCCAACCCACTGAGCCACCCAGGTGCCTCAATAAATAACATCTTTAAAAAAATAAATGTCGTAGAATTCCCCTGGGAAGCCATCTGGCCCAGGATTTTTTTTTTTTTTAAGGTTTTTATTTATTCATTTGAGAGAGAGAGAGCACAAGCCAGGGGAAAGGGCAGAGGGAGAAGCAGATTCCCTGCCCAGCAGAAAGCTTGACTTGGGACTCAATCCCAGAACCTGGGAATCATGACCTGAGCTGGAGGCAGACACTTAGCTGAACCACCCAGGTACCCTGGGAGGGCCAGGACTGACTGACTGACTGACTGACTTAATTAATTAATTAATTTTAAGATTTTATTTATTCATTTGAGAGAGAGACAGAGACAGAGACAGAACGCACAAGCAGTGGAAGAGGCAGAGGGAGAAGCAGACTCTCTGCCGAGCGGGGAGGGAGCCCAATGTGGGGCTCGATCCCAGGATCTGGAGATCATGACCCGAGCCAAAGGCAGGCGCTTAACCATCTGAGCCACCCAGATGCCCCGCTGCCTTTTTTTAAAATACCGGACCAGGGCTTAAAAAAAAAAAAAAAGATGATAACTGCTGGCAAGGATATAGCATAGGGGGAAGCCTGTGGACTGTCAGTGGGAATGCAAGCTGGTAGAGCCACTATGGGAAACAGTATGGTGGTTCCTCAAAAAATTACAAACAGAATCGCTCAGTGATTCCATTTCTGGGTATACATCCGGCAGGTAGATGCATCACTATGAGTCACTGCATTGGCGAGCTAGCTGCACTCCCATGTCCGCTGCACTACCATTCACAACAGCCAAGATTTGAAAAAAACCTGTGTGTTTGTAGACAGATGGATACAGAAAATGCAGTGTATATACAATACAGTATTATTCGGCCATAAAAAAGAAGGCAAAGCTGCCATTTGAGACATGGATGGACTTCAAGGGCATTATGCTAAATGAAATAAGTCAAACTCAGAAAAAGAGATCCAATTTGTGGCTATCAGAGGACAGGAAGGTGAAGGCGCTCCATAGGCACAAACTTGCAGTTAAGAGCTAAGAAGTACAGGGATGACGCAGCAAGACAACTATGGTTAACCCTCCCTACAGTGTGCTTGACAGCGGCTAAGGGACAGATCCTAAAAGTTCTCATCTTAAGGGAAAAAAACAACTTTTTTGGGTAACTATAGGAAGTAATGGATGTTAACCAAACTTACTGTAGTCAACATTTCACAGTATATGTCTATCAAATCATTATACAGTGTATTTAATGTATTATACAGTGTATTTAATGTATTATAATGTAGTGTATGATTATACAGTGTACGGGGTGCAAACTTACAGAGTTGTACTGCAGTTATAGCTCAATAAAAATGGAAAAAATGTTCATCAACTAGCTGATGAATATATGTATAGTCTATAATGGTCTGTCTATTGTCTAGAACTTTCGAATTACACCAGCTCATTTTCTCCTTTCACTTTCCTTTTTTTTTTTTTAAGATTTTATTTATTTACTTGACAGAGAGAGAGAGAGAGAGAGAGAGAACGAGAACGCACACAGGGGAACAGCAGGCAGAAGCAGAGGAATTATGGAGCAGGGAGTCCAATGTGGGGCTTGATCCCAGGACCTTGGGATCATGACCTGAGCTGAAGGCAGACGCTTCAGCTAACTGAACTGACTGAACCATCCAGGCAAGCCCTCCTTTAATTTTCCCACTTGCCAAAACATACACTAAATTTCCGCCATTTGTGTGCACGTACTCTCATCATGCAGACAGATAACCGATACGTTCCTTTCCGTTACCGTCCCCCCAAACTATAAACATTCAGTGAAGGATTTCCACCCCACAGCCCCCCACCCGGCCATACCCATCCTCCATTAGCAGCTGCCGGAAGAAGTCATTGGCAGCCAGCTTGATGGCCTTCTCTGGAGTGACCAAGGTTAAGTTCACTGCAGCTCCTGGAAGTAAAAATGAGGACAAGCTAAGGCCATCTCCAAGGGAAGACTTCTTGGGGCTCCTGGCTGGTGCAGTCAGTGGAGCATGCAATGCTTGATCTCAGGGTTGTGAGTTCAAGACCCATGTTGGGTGTAGAGATTACTTAAAAATAAATTACTTAGGGGCACCTGGGTGGCTCAGTGGGTTAAGCCTCTGCCTTCAGCTTGGGTCATGATCTCAGGGTCCTGGGATCGAGTCCCACATTGGGCTCTCTGCTCTGTGGGGAGCCTGCTTCCTCCTCTCTCTCTGCCTGCCTCTCTGCCCATTTGTGATCTCTCTCTGTCAAATAAATAAAATCTTTAAAAATAATAATAATAAATTACTTAAAAAAAAAAAGTCACAATCCTCTGAGTCTGTCACTCATATAGACAACCTACTATCACACCTAGCCAGGCAGGTTTCTGGGAACAATTGGGGTTTTGTTGGGGAGGATGTTGAAGAGGGTTCCTCTGTCTATTTTATAGAAACATGGAAGTTTTTTTCATCTCCTGACTTTGACCCTCTTCCCTCCACATTTCCCTTTTGGATACATGTGTTTCCTTTATGGGCTCATTGGTGCAGTTATTAGGAAGTCGTTTTCATCCTTGAGAGTGCTGCGCATCTCGATGATAAATGAACAGCTCCCCAAATCAAGCCCCAGTAATAAGGTTCTAGGGGACAGGGGTCACTTTCCATAAAGTGTGCTTTACTAGCCCAGTCCCACTGGCAGTTTTGTTGAGTCACATCAGTTTTTATTTTATTTCTCAGGGGTACTACAATATCAACTCCTTCTTAACTCCAAATTTGTATCCATTTTCCAAGCCCTAATCATGGTGATGCAGCCCTGGGTAGGGTCACTACAGCGGACAGGGACAGCAAGAGCTTGTATCAGGGAAAAGGTACCCAGTAACACCCTATCAGGAACTTAAAATCCTTTCCATCTCTTCCCCATCAGCCTTTTCCCCTTCTGCTTTCAGTAGCTGATGCCCTGACAGCTCTGAACGGGGGCAGAGGGGTCGGGGAGACCACTTGCTTCCAGCATCACACAGTGAGACAGCAGTGGTGCCTGGATGGAAACAGGGGCTCCTAGGCTCCTCAGTGTGCTCACTGGTACCCCCCCACCCCTGCCCCAAACCTTACCATAACTGCCTTTGTCTCCACCAAGGAACATGTGTGAAAAGCAAATGTGGCTTAGGATCACCTGGCAGCCCAGGCCACCCCTACCCCCACCCCGCAACCCTCCGGAGCTCGCTGGGCAGAAATGTTCTCTAAAGCCACAGGGTCTGGTGCCCTGGGCTGCGCACTCTGTTCTCATTTGGGCCAGGCCAGGCCTCCCCCAGGGGTGCATTGTAAGCCCACCTCGGTACATCCCCAAGAAGCCGTCTGCCCTGGCAGTTTTCATCAGGCAGTCTATCCTAGAAGCAGAAGCCAGAAAAGGAAGTCAGCGGGGAGCTTGACGCTGCTCCATCAGCCCCCCTTCGCCTAATAAGGTGCCCTAATCCTGCTGGGCACACCCCCCACCCCACTCCACTCCACCCCACAATGCACACAACTCCCTAAATAAAGAGACTGGAAGGAATGAGTCCCCATATCCCTCCCCAGGAGTCCCACTCTCCCTACTCACTCCATTCCCCTCACCAATACCTACATTCCTTTGTAGATGTCTTTTCCATGCTGGTTCTGCAGCCTAGTCTTGGCCAAGTCGATGGGGAACACACAGGTGACCCCAACAAGCCCTGCCACACCTCCATTGATGAGTTTTGCTGTGACACTAGGCCGTGAGGAGGAGGGAGGCACGGAGCTACTGAAGGAGGCAGAGAGACACAGGAGCTCAGAGGGAGGCACACAACCAGGACAGGTGGGGGTGGGGGTGGGGGACAGGAAGGGGAGGACGGGAGAGCAGGAACAGAAGGAAGAAAGGGTAGAACAGCAGCTCCTCTGGGAGCCTCAGCTCCATACCCTTCTCCTCAGCCTCCCACCCAACAGCAGCACCTCTCATAGCCAACCTGGGGCTTCCTCCCCCAGGTCCAGTTACAGAGACAGGTGAGGGCCCAGGGGCCAGGAGTGTCTGGCCGCCCCCTCCAGGGGCACTCACCAGGGCTGAGGCATCTTGTCCTAACTCCACCCAGGGAAGTGCTCCTCAAGCTAGGATGCTGCAAAGGCTTTTGGGAAGGAGGCCCAGAGTGCCAACTCTGCCCCCTAGGGCCCCACCAGGGTGCAGGAAGTCCTCAGCTCCTCTCAGAGCCAGCTCTCAGAGCTTTCACCAAGAGCCTGTTCTCCGGCTGGTCCCCACCTTTAGAGCCACATGTGGAGAAGTTTTCCAACAGACTGCAATTTTATTTCAGGCTTAATGTCAGTCAGGACAGCATTTGAATCCCCGCTATGCTGTTTACTTAAACAAGTTACCTTGCTTCTCTGATCCTTTGTTTTTCCCTCTGTAAAACTGGCCTCAAGGGATTTTGTGAGGATTAAGTAAGTTAATGCACCTAGTAAATGACAGCTATTATTTATAATAAGAGAAAACACGTTTTTGACAATGAGGGCTTCTAGTCAGCACAAGATCACCAGGGCTGAAGTATTGAGACTATCTGATTCCAGCCAAAAGTCAAGTCACACTTTACATAATGTGAGCCCCTCATCCTGGAATTTTGGAAGACTGAAGATAGAAAATAAAGCTTCCTCAGTCTCCTTGAAACCTAGTAATATTTTCTTATCTTTCAGGCCAGGGGTGGACTGTGAGCAAAATATTTGCAGGTAGATTATCTGGAAGCAGTAAGAAAAGATAATAGATTCTCTCACACCTGAACCCTGATAAGCAAACAACTTTGTGAAAACAAATAGAATTGTGACTGAAATTTTACAATCTGAGAAGATGCAATTCAAACAATTACAAATTTTACATACATATTTTGTATACTGTGGGAAAATGAGTCTCACTTGCTCCTCCCCTGGACTCAGGCATCGGGAAGAGAAGCTGAATGATGTGTTGTTACCACAGAAACCCAGCCCAGAGAGTCGGCTGGCTTGTCCAGTTTACCTCAAATCCTTTGTGGACATTCTGCTGGGGGCCAAGGACTGCTGGTGGGTCCCGGGACACAGGCAGTCGGCTCCTCACGGGAGATGGCTGGCTGAAGCAGATGTGGGGTCTGTACCCTTGACTCTGGCCCACCGCAGCAGAATGGATAGAACACGGGTGTCAGTGGAGACCGGCCTGCGCCACCTTCCTGGCAAGCCTCGGTGGGCTGGCTTCCTCCTCTACAAGGTGGTCAGAACAACATTCGCCTCACGAATATATGTCCCACATAAGTGCTGGGACAGAACATTATTGATATACTGATGTTGCCAACTTGCTCTGTTCCTTTTCCTTCCCAGACCTTTTGGACTTTGGGGATCGAGATCAGAAGAAAGGTGATGAGAGAGAAGGGCAGCCAGCCCAAACTAAGGCTCAGGGAGAGGAGTTCTGGGGCATCCAAAAGAAGTCTGTGGGAGTGGTGGTGAGGGAAGCTGATGGGTACCAAAGAGGATTTTTAAAAAATTTTATTATTTTTTTTTAGATTTTATTTATTTATTTGACAGACAGAGATCACAAGTAAGCAGAGGCAGGCGGGGGTGGGGGGGGAGGGGAAGCAGGCTCCCCGATGAGCAGAGAGCCTGATTCGGGGCTGGATCCCAGGACCCTGAGATCATCAACCTGAGCCGAAGGCAGAGGCTTTAACCCACTGAGCCACCCAGGCACCACCACCCAAAGAGGATTTTAAGAAGAGTTGCTGTGGACTAGGAATCTCTCTCATGGTGTCCACGAACTATAATAAAACACTTGAAATGTTCTGAAGTTACATTTGGCTCTTAAAATGTGTTTTCTAAACTTAATATGATCCTGTTGAAAGACTAAGTAAGCTGCTTTAAGTCTCTGGACTTATTTGTAATTGATACACATGGAAAGCACCAGGGAAGATGTCATAAAGTCGAAGCTATAATCATAATAATAATGACAGCTTCTTGGGAGGGGTCCTGCTTGACCCCAAGGGGACAGGGTCAGGAAGAGTACTCCTGAGGCTCCAATGGAGCCAGGCTTGAGCTCTGAGATGCTTCTTACTTCCAGGCTCCCTTCAAACTGCTGTAGGGTTCCCTTCCTCTTCCAGGCTCCTCACAAATCCCTGAGGCTGCCAACAATTTTCTGTTGTCTCCAAGTATTTTGTTTTAAGGAAGAAAAGAGAGAGATCATTCTTTCTCTTGGTGTATATTGATCCAATCAGAAAAAAATTATTGAGTGCCAGGCACTGACTGTTCTAGGTCTGAGGATGTAGTAGTGAACTAAAGGTCACAATCCTAGTTCTCAGGGGTTCTCTCTCTCTCTCTCTTTTTTTTTTTTTTTTAAGATTTTTTATTTATTCATTTGAGAGAGAAAGAGAGAGATTGAGAGTGCACAAGCAGAGGGGAGGGTCAGAGGGAGAGGGAGGAGCAGATTCCCCATTGAGCAAGGGGGGAGCAGAACTTGATCCCAGGACTCTGAGATCATGACCAGAGTTGAAGGCAGATGCTTAACTGACTGAGCCACCCAGGTGTCCCTCAGGGGCTTAAATTCTAAAGGAGGAAAGAGACAATAAATGAAATAAGAATAAGTAAATCCTAAGAAAACCAGATGGTTTTTTTTCTGGAGGAAAAAAAATTTAGAAGGGAAGGAAGATAGGAACTGTTAGTGGGGTGGGAGTTTGATGGCTTGATCAAAAAAGTATTCAGTGACTTGAAGATTCAAAGGAGGTGAGAGAGTGAGCCATGCAGGTATCTGGGAAAGAACACTCAGGGCAGAGCAAGTTCAAAGGCCCTGAAATCCAGAGGGAGGCTGGTGACTGGGAAGGAACAGCAGGATGGCCAGTGAAGTGTGAATAAGGGCGAGGGTAATGAAGACAAAGTCGTAGAGATAACGGGTGGGAGCATGACCCTGGAAGGCCTCAGAAGGTCTTTGGCTTTATTCTGAATGAAAAGAGAAACAACTGGAGAGTTGTTTTTTTTTTTTTTTTTTTTTTTAAGATTTTATTTATTTATTTGACAGACAGAGATCACAAGTAGGCAGAGAGGCAGGCAGAGAGAGGGCGGGGAGGGGGAAGCAGGTTCCCTGCCCGATGCTGGCTGCGGGGCTCGATCCCAGGACTCTGGGATCATGACCCGGGCCGAAGGCAGAGGCTTAACCCACATAGCCACCCGGGCGCCCGCAACTGGGGAGTTTTGAGCAGAGAAATTACATGCTCTTGACAGGACCATTTGGCGGGTGTGTTCAGAATAGAGAGCAGAGGGTCCAAGATAAAAGCGGAAAGACTAATTAAATTACTGCAGGAATCTAGGCAAGAGGTCACAGCTGCTGGTCGGGGGTGGGGTGGGTGGGAGAGTGGTTTAATTATCGTTGTATATTGGGGCACCTGGGTGGCTCAGTTGGTTAAGTGGCTGCCTTAGGCTTAGGTCATGTCCCGGGGTCCTGGGATCGAGTGCTGCTTTGGGTTCCCTGCTTGGCAGGAGGTGGGAGTTGTGGGGGCCTTCTTCTCCCTCTCCCTCTGGCCCTGCTCATTCTCGCTATCTTTCCCAAACAAATAATGGATGTGTGCTGAGGGCCAGGCCCCCAGGATTGCCTGATGAGCCAGTTGTGAGACACAAAAGTAGTTAAGTTGTTGGTCTGAGAAACTGGAAGAATGGTTTTATAACAGAGTGTATGGACCTAGAATAGATAAAACTTGGATCTGTTTGAGAAATAGGAAGCTGATCTGCAGAGAAAGAAACAGAAAAGTGAAGCAAGCACATCTGGAAGAGAAAGAGAAGACGGAGATCATCCTAATGTTTTAAATCCCAGTTTCCAGTTCACCCCTGAAATGTCGGTCACATGCCCATCTTTGGATTCTGTGACACACTCAACTGTCCTGTCAACCAATTAGGTCATTATTGCTTAACTTGCTAGAATGTGTATCTGATACACCCACCCAAGAGACTTAATTATCCCCAAAACTAGCAAAGAGAGGGAAGATTTGCAAATTACAGACTCTAAAGCATGGGCTCAGCTGAGAGAAAGCAGGGCCCAGGACTGAGGGGGTTGGCGGCCCTGGGGAGGAGCCCCCCCCCTTCATCTCTGGAGGCTCCAACTATGTCCTCCGAGAGCTGGAGCTTTGGGGTACTTAGGGGAAAATGTCAGGAAATTCGCATGTACTCACTGGTCTTTGAGACACTTAGTAAGTTGTTAGGAGAGAGAGGTTATAATTCTAGATAGCCACCTTAAAAATGAACAGGAAACAACAGGACAAGTATGAAACCCTGTCAGTCTGAAACCAGAGACTCAAATATTTGAGAATCTTGCAGCTATATTCCCTGAGTTTTCTAGAACTAAATTACTAGTTTATAAATTGTGGTTTGCTGGCTTTTGGAGCAGGGGTATTTAAGAGAAGCCAGAGAAATTAGGGACACCCCAATCCCAGGGCCACTTGCCTTTCCATGCGGCAGGAGGGATAATGGGATGTGATAATGTCTCCAACCTCCAACGTCTCCAAACTTCACGCCTATTGGTATGTGATGAGCGTGCGAGTAATGGGGACCAGCCTCGCCCACCCAGCCTGACAGTGGGCCAGGCCACTGGAAATCCCAGGCCCACAGTTCCTTAGAACAGACTTAGTATTCAAAGGCTAGGCCTTGACAAGATTTCTGGCACCAGTGAACGCATTAGCAAACCAAGTCAACAAAGAGGAAACTGACAGTCAGCCAGCAAAGGTTTTAAAGGAGTCCTCATCACAAAAACCCACGCTTGGCAATAGGGTCCATGTTTGCTCAATCCCTAAGGCAATCCATAGGCCCAAGTATTAGTCATTTTACAAATACTTGCGGAGGGCCCAGTGTGCGCCAGTCACAGTTCTAGGCAGCAGGGATATAGTTGAGAACAGTAACAAGGTTCCTGCTTCCTCAGAGTTTAGGGTTCTCCTGGTTCCAGCCCTGATGGGAATAGACTTGCGGAGTGATACAGTGCACCCTCCCACCAGCGCCCTCCTTGGCACTGTTCTCTTCATCTGGGACCTGAAGGATCCTTGGGTTGGCAAGGGAAATTCTTCCAGCAAGCCAGACCCTGAGGCAGCCATGTACCTGATCAAGGAGCTCCCTACGTTGTCAAAGAATTTAGCAAACAAATGGATATTCATTAAATTATCTAGACTTTTAAAAAAATTTTATTTATTTTTTAGTAATCTCTCACCCAGTGTGGGGCTCGAACTTGGGACCCCAAGGTCAGAGTCACGGGCTCCTCTGAGCCAGCCAGGTGTCCCTAAATTAGTCTTATCACTTGAGGAGTGCTTTATGTATTAGACTATTGAACAATATATAGTATTTCTCCTTTTTTTTTTTTTTTTTTAAAGATTCTATTCATTTATTTGTCAGAGAGCGAGTAAGCAGGGGGACCAGCAGGCAGAGGGAGAAGCAGGCTGCTCCTGAGCAGGGAGCCCAAGGTGGCACTCGACCTCAGGACCCTGGGATCATGACCTGAGCCAAAGGCAGCCACTTAACTGACTGAGCCACTCAGGTGTCCCTCCTTTCTTTTAAAAATAGAATTTAGAGGGGCGCCTGGGTGGCTCAGTGGGTTAAAGCCTCTGCCTTCAGCTCAGGTCATGATCCCAGGGCCCTGGGATTGAGCCCCGCATCAGGCTCTCTGCTCAGCAGGGAGCCTGCTTCCTCCTCTCTCTCTGCCGGCCTCTCTGCCTATTGTGATCTCTGTCTGTCAAATAAATAAATAAAAATCTTTTAAAAAAAAATAGAATTTAGAAAAGTAGAGTATTTGGGGAGTGTTGGGGAAGTAATAATAATTATTTAAGTACTGGGACACAAAATTATAAGGATCTACATCTGTAACTCTCTGTGACCAAGTTGGGAAAGGACTGTTTTTAAAAAAAAGGGGAGGGGCGCCTGGGTGGCTCAGTGGGTTGGGCCTCTGCCTTTGGCTCCGGTCATGATTCCAGGGTCCTGGGATTGAGCCCCGCGTGGGGCTCTCTGCTCGGGGGGAGCCTGTTTTCCCGTCTATCTCTGCCTGCCTCTCT